ACTTCAGAGGACGAGGCAGCGGCGACGTCATCAGACGAGCCAACTTCAGGGACGTCATCAGAGGAGGCGGCGACGTCATCAGACGAGCTGACTTCGGGGACATCAGAGGAGACGACTGTGGGGTCATCGGACGGGACGTCATCAGAGGTGACGGCGACGTCATCGGACGGGACGCCATCAGAGGTGACGGCGACGTCATCGGACGGGACGTCATCAGAGGTGACGGCGACGTCATCGGACGGGACGTCATCAGAGGTGACGGCGACGTCATCGGACGGGACGTCATCAGAGGTGACGGCGACGTCATCGGACGGGACGTCATCAGAGGTGACGGCGACGTCATCGGACGGGACGTCATCAGAGGCGACGGCGACGTCATCGGACGGGACATCATCAGAGGTGACGGCGACGTCATCAGAGGTGACGGCGACGTCATCGGACGGGACGTCATCAGAGGTGACGGCGACGTCATCAGAGGAGGAGGCGACGTCATCAGACGGGACGTCATCAGAGGAGGCGGCGACGACTTCGGACACGTCGTCGTCAGAGGAGGAGGCGACGACTTCGGACACGTCGTCGTCAGAGGAGGAGGCGACGACTTCGGACACGTCGTCGTAAGAGGAGGAGGCGACGACTTCGGACACGTCGTCGTCAGAGGAGGAGGCGACGACTTCGGACACGTCGTCGTCAGAGGAGGAGGCGACGACTTCGGACACGTCGTCATCAGAGGAGGAGGCGACGACTTCGGACACGTCGTCATCAGAGGAGGAGGCGACGACTTCGGACACGTCGTCATCAGAGGAGGGGGCGACGACTTCGGACACGTCGTCATCAGGGGCGACGACTTCGGACACGTCGTCATCAGGGGCGACGACTTCGGACACGTCGTCATCAGGGGCGACGACTTCGGACACGTCGTCATCAGGGGCGACGACTTCGGACACGTCGTCATCAGGGGCGACGACTTCGGACACGTCGTCATCAGGGGCGTCGACTTCAGAACAGGAAGGGGCGTCGACTTCAGAACAGGAAGGGGCGTCGACTTCAGAACAGGAAGGGGCGTTGACCACCATCGACTTCGGGTCCACGGGCGTTGACTTCTGGTCCTTCGATTTTCGGACCGTCGACCTCTGGACCGCTGGCCTCTGGACCGGGACCGGAACCGTCTGCTTCTTGCCCGGAGAAGTCGGCTTCTGGTCCCTCGACTTCTGGACCGCTGAGTTTTGGACCGGATCCGGCTCCATCTGCTTCCGGGTCGGTACCCTCCGTCTCTCGGCCCGCTCCGTCGGCTTCTGGGCCGGTACCGTCTGCTTCTGGCCCGGAGGAGTCAGCCTCTGGTCCCTCGACTTCTGGACCGCCGAGTTTTGGACCGGATCCGGTACTGTCTGCTTCCGGGTCGGCAGCAGGGCCGCTGCTAAGAAAGCTTGGAGCGATGAGGAGAGGCGGGAGGTCAGCTCGTCCAGTTCTAGCTCCCTGAGGCTGAGCGTCCGACGGAGCTGGGCCAGCTCAGCCCGCTGACCGGCGAGCTCCGCTGGGGAAACCCTGCGCTCGCTCCTCTGGCCCCGGGACGAGGAGGATAGGGCGTCCAGGTGAGACTCCTTGCGGCTGAGGAGCTCGCGGAACCGGCCGAGCTCCGCCCGGTGCTCCATCAGCCGGGCCGCGATTGCTGCTCCTTCCTCTGCAACCGACGGGGGCTCCGGTTCGGCAAGAGACGGGACTGGTGGTCTGGCCGGGGGCGTGTCCGAACTGCCGCGCCGGGCACGGCCAGCGGCGGGCTCGAAACTCCCTCCAGAAGCGCTGGGCTGTGGTGGCTTCCGGCGTCTCTCCCCACGCCGTGGACTGACTCCAGGGGAACAGATCGCCAGCCTCGTGCCCTCATAGCTGGAGCGATCTGGCAGCGGCTCCCGGTCCAAACATGCCTCCGGTTCCGGGAGGACAGGGAGGAACGCTGCGGCCGAAGGTCGGCGATGCCGGCGGCGGCGAGGCGGAGCTGGTGCTGGAGAGGGAGAAGCCGGCTGGTGGGTCGGGGTAAGCCACTGGAGCAGATTCTCCCAAGGCAGAATCTCCCGGCTGGATCCATCAATGGGTTCGGGTCGGATCATTCTGTCAGCGCGCTGCGGAGTGGAGCGGAGGAAAGGCGTGGATCCAGACCGGGGAGTAAACAGGCAGCAGGTAGGAACGGTCAACCAGGATTTATTAAGCACGCTGGAGAATGAAACAATGATCCGACCCAGTACAAAGAACAGACAGGGTTTAAATACAGGAGGGTTAGGAGCTAAGGTGATTGGGAAACGAGAGGCAGGTGGGAGTAATCAACGAGACACAAGGCTGAACTAAACGGGGAGACATGACCGGGTGTGACACTGAGCTGACAAGGATATGAGATTCTGGGATTCTCCTCAGACAGGCTCCTGGATGTGTCGCCACATTGGAGACAGGAACAAGCACTATTCAGCCAAAGTTTCGTAATCAGGGCACATTTTCTAAGTGACAAGTCTCTCTGAGAGACAGGGTTTGGAAAACACTCGCTTCAGTCGGAGGAATCTTCCTGCATGCGCTCTGGTTCTGTGACGCGCTCCAAGCCCCTCTCCACATCTTCAGCTCGCTGTGCACCGTACGTACGCGCTGACAGTGAGCTGCGCTGAGCGGTGTCCAGCTCAGATGTTCAGATGGGAATCTTTTCTTGAGTGATTTAGCTACATCTGCGATGTGTGAAACGAATAAAATGTCAGTTCATCTGTATGCGTCGGGGTAATCCTTTCTATTCTTTCTCCATCAAAATAAACGGTCAAATACGGGAACTGTCCAGTCAACACAAGCCCTGCTTTTAACTGTTCTGTTTTCTTGTGAAAATTGTTGCAAATAGATATAATTTAACTTGATTAACACTGGAGCCAGGCGCACTGCGCCGTTATCTCCGTCACTGTAAATGAGGGGAAAACAAATTGATCGGATCCTTTTCTGACCTTCCCCACCTACAAAGTTTAATTACAACAATCAAACGTGACAGAGCCTGGATTTGTATTCTGAACAGTCTAAACGTGTTTTAAAAAGAAACGTATGACAAAAGTGGCACCTGCTCAGTAAAACCACCAACAGAGTGAAAAATATCAAAATATTGTAGGCAGAGATGGGCTACAACTTCTGGATCCATTTTATATAAATCGTTTTATTGATTATCGTCTTATGAAAGATAACTTTGACGTACACGAGCGACCGGTACTGGCTGCTGTCACCTGTTGTGATTGGTTAAGGCAGCTCTCTGCTGTCTGAGGGTAGGCCCCGCCCACAACGCCGTGGCTGCTGTGGCTCCCAGTGTTTTTTTTACTGTGGGAAACGGGTAATAATGGCTCTTTGATGGGAACAGGTTGCCGACCCCTGGGCCAGACTATGAAGGGTCCTGAACACAAGCAGCAAAAGCTTGAAGTCAGTCCTGTACTGGACAGAGGGCCGATGGAGAGAAGCTAGAACCTGTGTAATGCATTTGTTTTTTTCTGTTAGAAGAAGAGTGGTGGCATTTTGTACAACCTGTTGATGGTGGAAGGAAGACTGATATAAACCTTTATGTGAGGAACTGCCGTACTCAAAGCATGTTGTGATGAAAGGCAAGGCAGTGTAGCGGAAATCCACATGTCATATTCTCAAATTAACTTTAGTTGGATTCACAAGAAGGACAACGGCTTTTCTTGCTCTCGCACTGCAGCAAAAGGGGAAAATTGAAACTGGCCTGCAGTCATATCAATTCCAAGATTCCTTTTTCAACACATCTGGTTAACTCCTACGATTCTCTCCCAGGGTTGTAAATTGCACCAATGACTTCGTTTCCCCTTCTTTACCAATCAGAGCAGGACAATATCAGAAAATGGTCTGTTTCATATCCACCTGTCAAGGCTGATTCTTACACAAAATCAGGGTGGTCGTAAAACTTCTCAGGGGTTTTCTTCTGGAAGCTTCCAGACTTTAGTCCTTAAAAACCTTGTATTTTTGTTTATCAACAGTCAAAGAAGGTGTTTTAGGTTGTTTACCATTTAAAAGAATCAATGTGTTCAAAGTAAATGTGAAACTCTTATCAGTTACAGACATGAATGTTGTTTGTGTTCCTCTTTCAGGTTAAACCTCTGCCATTTTTGTTTCTCCAGTTCAAATTCTTGCTAACAGTAATACCGTCAAGTTTAAGACGTAAATTTAGTTCTTTCCTTGTTTAAAGTAATATTTTTTGATGCCTTAAGCAGGTAATCTTGTTAAATGTTGATGCCTCAGACATTGTTTGAAAAAGATGTTTATTTGAAAGAGCCACAGTGCCGTCCAGTGGTTAATAAGTGAAATACATGTGGGCGTGCCGGTTATAAGAGGCCAGAGTTCACTCTCGTGGCAGCAGAGCAAAGAACAAAGCACGCCTTAAAGTCCCATTAGTTGTCACACACAATTGTCACACGCAATTGACCCATCCCCTGGGGGAGCGGTGAGCTGCAGACACAGCCGCGCTCGGGAACTATTTGGTAGTTTAACCCCCCAATCCAACCCCTTAATGCTGAGTGTCAAGCAGGGAGGCATTGGGTCCCATTTTTTCAAAGTCTTTGGTATGACCCAACCAGGAATCGCACCCCTGATCTCCCATTCTCAGGGCGGACACTCTACCTCTAGGCCACTGAGAAAGGTTTTAAGCAAATCCCTGCTAGGCTTTTCCATCTCACCTAGCAACGCCGTCGCTCTCAAAGTTTTCAAGTCATTATCTCTCAAAAGTTAATTAGAAGATACGAACTTCTACGTCAAACCGGAAGTTGGTTTGGTCCGGTAAAGTTTTCACAATAAGAGTTAAACTAATTTGGACCCGGCCCTATGTGCTTTCTTTACAAATGTAGGTGTGCACTTTCAGATTCATTTAGTCATGTTAGGACCTGAGTAATATTTCGTTCAACAAAATTTAAATTAATCCAACTTTAGTTGCTTAGTAAAATGATTTACAAAATAATGTTCAGTACAGATTACATTTGACCCACCTCATTGGCATTGATGCCATTGTTGACTGACCAGGTGGCTTGAAAGTACTCCAACATCCTCTGCTTTAGCTGCTGAGGTAGTCTATGCACACGGATGAAGTCCTTTAGATCCTTCATGCGGGTGTGATAGAGTGAGCGTCGTGAGTACATACGCTGGATGATGGCCGTTACGTTGCCGAAGACCACTGCATGCATCAAGGCTGTAGGTGCAAATTACAGTTAGTTCCTGACAACATCAGCATATCTACTAAAGCTGGGGAAATTCTGCAACTGCAATCAAACTCACCACCAATAAGCATGATACAGATGGAGAAGACTTTCTCAGCATCTGTATTGGCACACACATTGCCAAAACCAACACTTGTAAGGCTGCTGAGAGTGAAGTAAAGGGAGGAAATGTAGGCACTGGGCATGGAGGGTCCACCCTTGGTGCTGTTAACATACGGCATCTCCAGACGCTTTCCTAATTCTTGCAGCCAGCCTGATGGAAGATATGAGATTAATTAGCAAACTTCAAAATGTTATTCCCGTATTTTCCAGACTATAAGCCGCTACTTTTTTTCCCCCCACGCTTTAAACCATGCAGCTTATAATGAGGTGGGGCTTTACTGTAGATTTTCCTTCACCTGCCAGGGGGCGCTTCAGCAGAAGTGAAACAGGTGGAAGTCAAAGTTGGAAATCGAAGAAAGTGCTCATTTTTATTTAGCACATGCAAGCAGCTGGCACGACGAAGAATTTTTTCAAACCCATACCCTCTCTTCATGAAAACTACACGAAGGAGTTCATATGATGCTGCCTTTAAGTTGACGGCCATCGATCTGGCAGTAATGGAGGGAAACAGAGCTGCCGCCCGTAAGCTTGGAATGAATGAAGCCATGGTTCGGCGCTGGACACGGCAGCGGGAAGAACTCTTTCAATGCCAAAAGACTAGAAAGGCTTTCAGAGGACAGAAAAGAAAGTGGCCTGAACTTGAAAATGTTCTTGAGGACTGGGTTACCACTCAGAGAGCAGGTGGCCGAGGTGTGTCCACCGTGCAAATCCGGCTTGAAGCCAAATCAGTCACACGCAAAATTAATTTACAGGATTTTAACGGAGGACCATCCTGGTGTTTTAGATTCATGAGAAGAAGGAGCTTGTCCATCAGGACGTGGACAAATCTCTGTCAGCAACCCCCTCGGACTACCAGGAAAAACTTACAAGTTTCCAACAATTTGTTGAAACAAAGACTGCGGAGAACGCCATTGGACCAGATGACATTGTAAATGTGGATGAGGTGCCATTGACATTTGATCTCCCTCTGACCAAAACGGTAAACAAGACAGGTGCATCATCCATTATGGTGAAAACCACCGGGCACGAGAGGACGCATTTCACCTGTGTCCTGGGCTGCACCGCATCTGGAAAGAAGCTTCCTCCGATGGTCATTTTTAAGCACAAAAAAGACCAACTACTGAAGGATATTCTGGTTAAAGTCAACCAGAAAGGATGGATGCTAGAACGTCTAATGAAGGAATGGTTAAAGGAGTGCTACGGAAAGCGCCCAGGAGGATTTTTTCCACAGTAAAACAGCACTGCTTGTTTTGGACAGCACGAGGGTCCACATCACCAATTCAGTGAAAGCAGCCATCAAGAGAACCAACTCAATTCCTGCTGTGATTTCTGGAGGTACAACCAAGTTTTTGCAACCCCTGGACATCAGCATGAATCGATGCGTTTAAAGCAGCATTTCGGGCTGAATGGGAGGCTTGGATGACCAGTGGCGATAAATCCTTCAAAAAAACTGGCCGCATGTGAAGAGCATCATTTTCTGATGTCTTTTAGTGGATACTAGCTGTGTGGAGCAGCGTGAAGGAATCTACCATCATCAATGGGTTCTGAAGAGAACACGACCGCTTCAGAGCCAGCTTCACCCGGGGATGATGACAGCAACCTGCAGAGCGACACTGACATCGCCACATGTGACGAAGCTCTTCTGAGGCTGTTCAGCTCCGACACTGAAGAAGATGACTTCAGTGGTTTCAGTGCGCAGGAGGACGATGAATAAACCAATCAATAACTTTTCTGTTTCGTTTGATACTGATCAGTTCAGTTACGTTCAGTTAAACTGCATTTTCAGTCCAGTAGATATCCAGTAGAAATCTGCGGCTTTTAGCCCGGTGCGGCTTATATAAGTACAGTTCCATGTTTTTAATCAAACTTAGTAGGTGCGGCTTATATTCAGGTGCGCTCTATAGTCCGGCAAATACGGTATTCTAATTATTTTATTCTGCCCCAGTGGACAAGTGTGCCTGCTTACGTAGGTGATGAAAAGTGTTATGTAACTTAAACAGAATCTGTTACTGAAGAGATGTAGGGAAAATGCTGTGACCTAAACTCTGAGGCTGAAATGATGCGGAGGCATTCAGGCATTTACTAGTTACAAAAATATGCATCTAATAGAAAAAGACCACAGCTACAACATCTTGTCTGTGAAAGACACAAACACACTGTACGTACCTATGTCCCAGGTCACAGGGTCACTGCTTTCTATCTCCTCACGTCCAATAACGTACCACACACAAGCCATCCAGTGAGCCAGGAGAGCAAACACAGACATGAGCAGGGTGAGGACCACTGCGCTGTACTGGGAGTAACGATCCAGTTTCTGCATGAGGCGAAGCAAACGTAGCAGGCGAATCGTCTTCAACAGGTGCACTAGTGAGGTCTGGTCACGAAGTACAGAAAAAGGACATAAAACATATTTTCTGTGCTGTTCTCTTTTATCTTTCTTTACCCCGATTTACTTTTTACTGCAGTTTTGTTTTATTTACTTTTTTTATTGACAGTCTTACCACTGTGATGTTAAATGCATAGAGAAGGTCAAAGGGCAATGCTGCAATCAGATCCACAAAGAACCATGTGGTGCAGTAATGAAGGTAAATGGACCGGGCGTCATACACCACCTGACCTGACTGGCTCACATAGGTGGTGCGGAAATTCAGGATAATATCTGTAAAAATAAAACAGTTCATGCAATTGAATACCATCTACAATGAATCAGATAAAGAATACAAAGGCGTGTGATTGTTAGTGCTCCTCTGATCACTGCAGCGTGCCAAAGAAATGACTTGTTTTACATTTAAGAACAGCATGTGATGGTGGGTGAGCTAATTCTGAGTCAATGCCTGTTCCTAGTCCTAGTTGTGTGACAGATGTGTTACAGCAGTTTTGCCAGAGTAAAATCAGGACGAAGTGAGAGAACTCTAATTATAATTTATAACCCCAGGCGATGCTGACACTGTGTAGGCGAGAGATGGTAGGAGGGGGTCGTGTTAGCCATCGCCAAGGAAACAGCTGCACAGAGAAATGCAGTTGTCCCCAATTAAAAATCACTAGTTTTGTGTTTTTGTGATACTGAAATCTGGAATTAAACACATCATTAATTAAAAAAGAAAAAACAGCATTTGTGTTTCAATCTAAACATTTTTTTACCGAGCATGAAGAGCATCTCCACTGCTATGTCACTCCATATGGTGCTACGGCTGATAAGTGAATGATCGCCGCCTTCGTTGTGACTGACAAAGCAGACGTTAAAAGGCACAGTGACAGCCACGTAGAAGGTCGCCAGTAGGATTAACCAGTCCCACAAGGCCTTGGAGACGCTGTAGTGCAGCAAGATGAAACGTGACTTCTTTACTGATCCCACTTTGTACTCGGGTGGAGAGGGTTTCTGGAACATACTCTGAAAACATGACAAGACATCACGTTTTAATCCCAGTGCAGATTTGCTTGGTAAACCCTAAAAACCAAGCAAAATGTGTCCATCCATTTAACTGTAAATGTTACATTTAAATGTAATAACTGTTTAAAATATATTTTTTTCAGTTTCTTTATTTATTATTAAAAGGGACTGCATGGTGGTGCAGTTAGAAGCGCTATTACCTTACACCAATAAGGTCACAGGTTCAAGTCTTGGCTTTGGCCTTTACAGTTTTAGTTAGTGTTCTCCCATATATGTGTGGGCCTTCCCCAGGTACCCCGGCTTCCTCCCACTGATCACAAACACGGATGTCAGGTTAATAGGAGACTCTCGTCCCTGGGAATTAATAGGTGTGTGAATGGTTGATGGACCGGTGGCCTGTCCAGGGCAGCCTCCACTTCTCACCTGATGTCCGCTGAAGTTAGACACCAGCTACCCTGCAACCGTACTGAAGGTGGTAAGGAAGACGAGTGAATGAAAGGTTTGGGGAAAAGCTTGTTCTCCAAAGAAAAGAGAACACGGTTTGCATGTTTACACTGAGTCTGCAATGTCCACAGAGGTAAAAGTAATACAAACATGTTTGTATTTTGCTATTTTGTTTATTCGTTTGGAACAACGGGACTCATGATAGAACACAAGTTAATGCTGATCACATTTAGCTTTTAGTTCAAGCCGTTCTACATCTTTCTGTAATATTTTAATCAATGTCAAATTAGTTCAGATTTTGTACATTAGACATCTAAATAAATCAGTTTCATAGTTTAGTTATGATAAAAATCATTTAACATTTCATTTGATCTTGACTGATCAGTATTACAGCATCTTTGAAAGCCTTCATATTATGATATAATAATAATACATTTTATTTCAACAGCGCCTTTCTGAACACTCAAGGACACTTACAGAGATAAAATACACAACAATAAAAGATAAAACAGCATAAAACAAACAGACAGATTGGAGCAAAGAGAGTAACTATTGGAATGCTAGACGGAACAGGTGGGTTTGGAGTCTGGTTTTAAAGAGAGTGAGGGAATCAATGTTACGGAGGTCAGGAGGGAGTGAGTTCCAGAGCTGGGGAGCAGAGCGACTGAAGGCCCTGCTCCCCATAGTGACCAGACGGAAAGGTGGGACAGAGAGGTGGATGGAGGAGGAGGACCTGAGGGAACGGGTGGAGGTTGAAGGATGAAGGAGGTCTGAGAGGTACGGGGGAGCTAGGTTATGGATGGCTTTGAAAGCATATAGCAGAATTTTGAATTGGATTCTGGAAGTGACTGGGAGCCAGTGGAGCTGCTGAAGAACAGGGGTGATGTGGTGGAAGGAGGGAGTTCTGGAAATGATGCGGGCTACCGAGTTCTGAAGAAGTTGGAGTTTATGGAGGGATTTGTGAGGAAGACCGAAGAGAAGAGCGTTGCAGTAGTCAATAAAGGAAGTGATGAGGCTGTGGACAAGGATGGTGACCGAGTGAGTAGTGAGGGAGGGGCGTAGATGGTTACTGTTACGTAGATGGAAGTAGGCAGACCGGGTAATATTGTTTATGTGGGACTGGAAGGATAGTGAGGAGTCGAGGATGACACCCAGACTCTTGACCTGGGGGGAGGGGGAAACTAAGGAGTTGTCGACAGGAAGTGTAAAGCTGTGGATTTTGGATAGTAAGGATTTAGTGCCGACAAGTAACATTTCTGTTTTATCACTGTTGAGTTTGAGAAAGTTTGATGTGAACCAGTCTTTGATCTCAGATAATCAATTGGTGAGGGAGGAAGGAGGAAGTGAAGAGGAGGGTTTGGAGGATACATAGAGCTGGGTGTCATCCGCGTAACAATGAAAATGAATGTCAAATTTACGGAAAATATTTCCCAGGGGAAGAAGGTAAGTGATGAAAAGGAGTGGACCGAGAACAGAGCCTTGGGGGACGCCAGTAGTGACAGGGAAGGGACGGGAAGTGAAGGATTTTAGTTGAATAAACTGAGTACGGCCAGAGAGATATGAACGGAACCAATCAAGCGGGGTATGAGAAATGCCAAGGGAAGACCAAATTCTATATGTGAGAATGTGTGATATATGTGTGATTTGAGTTTATATGCAACCTCCCAAACGCATCACTCGAGGATTGTTGTAACTGGAGCTGGTTTTGATTTGAATGTCACTGGTGTTTACATAATAAATAACCCAAAGCTTTTAGCTGTTATGATAGCATACGACTGTGTATGCGCCCTCACAGGTTAATTATCACTCACTGCTTTTCTTAACAACTTCTCCTCAGCAGGGACACCCTAAACAGATCGCCAGTTCATCACAGGCCTCACACATTCTCACATATAGAATTTGGTATTTTCAGGTCATAACTCTGCACTCACATCATTTAGTTTCCTGTTGCTCCTCTTGGAGAACAGACGGTGCAGAAAAGTCCCGCTCGTTTCTCGAATTCGAGCAAAATACGATCTGCTGATTTTTCTACTTTCTTTCGCAGCTTTGGACACCTCTGCTGTATGAGGGCAATCAGAAAAAAACATTCAGGTCAATGTAAAATAGATGACAGTGACAGATTTCAAGTACAAAGGTAATGTTGCACGGTCAAATTTAAAAGTCAACTCAGCTTAAATGAGGATGGTGCTTTAAAAAAAGCAAAGCAAAAAAGCTTGCATTCCATTGTGGCTCACCTTCTTCTTGGATGTGGTGATGTCTTTTCCCGTATGATTCACTGACATCTTTAAAGGATAACAGGAACAACACCACCTCACCCTTCTCATTTTTAATTGGGACGATATCCAGGAGACACCAAAATTGATTTCCTGAGAGGATCAGAACATTATTACAGAAAAAATACACACATGATACTGCTAAATATTTTCCATCTGATAGGGATTAGATAATCATGGTAAAACGTGAGGACTTGCAATGATATCAAGGCTGAGAAAATGTTTCTTTCTGTTTAGACTCCCACAAGATCCAAATCAGGCAAAGTTGTATCTTGAGCTATGGGGAATCTCACCATTCTTCCTATAAAAGCACACTTCTCCCTGATACTCCTGCTGAACCTCCAGAGCTTTGTGGACCTGCTGCATCACACTGTCGCTGGTTTCAACCCCATGAAGAAAGCCGCAGGTGCAGGTTTTCTGCATCACCTCAGTCCGGAAAAAGCCAGTCAGTTCGCAAAAGCCATCAGAGCAGTAGACAACTGGGTAACCGTAGCGACCCTGAGCATTTCCCAGGAGAAAGTTACTGTCTGTGAGGAAAAAAGAGCGGGGTGTAAGCTCGAAAAACAGAAAGAACAAAAAAATAAAGAAATAACTGACTGAATAACAGAAAATAAACCACCGTGAAGCTTGCCATCCATGAAAATCTCAACAAACCGTTTTTGATTTAAATAACAGGTTCCAGTTAAAAACAGTCTCAAACATTATGTGTTATAATTATATAATAAAATATCTCCATCAGAATCATCTGTTTTAATAGAACAATGTTTGAAAAACAGCATTTAAAGAGCAAGTCACCCCCAAATAAACTTTTTTTTGCTGATAAACTAAATAAATGAGTGTCTAATCGTGCTGCAGACACGTGTCATCAATAATTTGGCACTTCAGTGCATCTTAGTTAAAATTTAAGTATTCTGCCTAAAACTGGCAGTGTTGTGCCGTTGTCAGGTAAAAACTCTGCACTGTATTTTAATTTAAATCTGCCACCGCTATTGGCTAAGAAGTATGCTATGATGTAAACTGGTACATTATGATGTCACAATGCTGTCGTGAGCCTGAGTGTGTGTGTATTTGTTAGCAGCTCTGCCCTCTCGGTCTGCCAGGCAACAGCATGTGTTGCATTTTTCAAACATGAAGTGGAAGTGGAGTTAGACTCTGGTAGGGGTTGACTTGCTCTTTAATTAATAGTTTGCACAAAGCTGTTGCAAACTAAAATATTTTGTAACCACAGAAACCAGAATAAAGCACAAATGTGCTGAATATGGTTCTGATCAGAGTAAAAATGTTTTCAGCAGTCACCTGTTTTAAAACTTGCATTTAGGAGAGCAGGCACAGTAGATGTTAGTGCCTAATAATTACTAGACAGGGCTGATTTATTTATGTAGCACATTTCAAACACAGAGGCTATTCAATGTACTTTCCATTAGCAAGAATAGCAACATTAAAATCAACATGATAGGAATTGCAGTTTAAAAATGAAAAAGAAACAAAGTTAAAGTTAAAGGGTGAGCAGAATGTGCAATATAAAAACAGTCATTCAAAGGTTGATTGAAACATGAAGGTTTTCTGTTTGGATTTAAATGTTAGTTGGGGCATTTGAGGTCACCAGGAAGCTGATTCCATCTGTGTGCAGCACAGTAGCTAAAAACAGCACCCTTTTTGGTTCCGACCTGGGGTTGTACAAGCTAACTGTTTCCTGATCCCACATTTGATCAACTTCCAGACTACGTAAGACATTGACGCCCAGGTAAAGTTGGGTCCTCTCCGTGATGGAACAGAAGTGGTCCTGCCAGTACAGGAGGAACCAAGTTCCATCCGAGGCCCTTGAGCCAGGGCAAGGTACCAACGCATGCTTTCCTCCTCTTCCCAGCAGCATACAGTACAAGCCAGGATCACAAATCAGGATTGAGAACTCTGGGAAAAAAAGTAACACACATCATCTGCATGAAGACAGATTTTATGTTCTATGCCGTTACGCTTTATGCCTTTAATACCTGTAGTTGGCCTGACTGCTGCTGCTAGGGGTTCAATAAAGATAGCAAATATTGAAGGAGAGTGGGCATCCCTGTCTGGTCCCCCTCGGAAGACAGAAGCTGGTAGATTTTTGGCCCTTTGTCCTGACACATGCGGTTGGTGAACTGTATAACGTTGAACCGATTTATAAAGGAATTTCCAAAACCAAATGTATGTAAAGTTGACCCAGTGAGTCGTGGAGGATGACTGCTTATACTGAGCCAGGATTCTCTGGAGGTTTCTTCCTGTTAAAAGGGAGTTTTCCTCTCCACTGTCGCTGCATGCTTGCTTAGTATGAGGATTGCTGTATAGTCACTGACACTAGTCAGTGACTTGATGCAATTTGCTGTGTTCCTTATGTAGGAAACATTATTTCTGATTGGCTTAATGAACTGTGAATTGGAATGTTTATTATGTGAAGTGCCTTGAGACGACTCTTGTCGTAATTTGGCGCTATATAAATAAAATAAAATTGAATTGAATTGAAATAAAAACTCTGTTGAAAGCCTTTTCTGCATCCAGAGATAAAATACTAGTTTCTATGTTTTACTATAATAACATTCTTTCAAATCAAAGGTTTAATTTTTTTTTATAAACACAGAAGAGGGAAGGTTTTTATTATACCACAGAGAAACTTCAGTTATGTAACAGTAGAGCAGAACAGCTATACTGGTGAAACAACATCCAATGAATTAAAGGCAAAAGCAATAGTGTTCAGATCTGTAAACATTTGAGACATTGCAGTCTTTTTAGGGCTAGGTGTGTGGGTGGTGAAGACGAGGAAAGTAAATGATGAAACTCTTGCTCAAAGCTCTGACTGCAGTTTGATCAGAGTCGATTTATTTGTTCAACTTCAGGGCTGTAGCCCGCTTCCGTGAAGATCAACAAAATCCACAAGAAATGACTGAGTCAGTCACGACGCTGTACTTAATGTACTATGAGCATCAGCTGTGTGCACAGCAGGTTCTTGTTCACCTTGTCTGGTGATGGAAACATCACAAAAGCTGCTTTTCAGCTTGTGTAACATCATCTCTGTTTATAAGCTACCATGCCAGGGCAGTGATTCCCTAAGGGATTTATGAGGATGAATAATGGGCCAAGTAAAACAAAACTATATAAAACAGGATGATGCAAATAAGGTCTCTGTTTTCATTTAATTGTTATTTATTTATTTATCTCAGAAAGTTCTTAAAATTCACAGCAAACATTTAAAAGATAATATAGCTCCAAGGACAACATGGAACATCAGCCGGAGCTTTGTTCTCCCTGCAGTTTGGGAAGTAAAACACGAACCTGAAGTTTCTGCAGGAGCAGGTTTTTATGGGTTTACCTGAGCAACAAGTGATTCCACGAGTCAGATATGTCACAGTTAATTGCACATTTCAAATTAAAGTCAGACTAATGTTATGTGAGTTTTGTGTGTTTTCTAGCTACATGTGGCTTGCAGCATTGCCATATGTTTTATTTTCTTTTTTCCTACGTGTGTTGTCATGGCAACACAAATGCAGAAAGATCTTTATTTAGCTTCGCACACACTTTAAGGTGAAAACATCCACTGCTGGTCTCTCTCTGGCACAGTCTTAATCATTTACTGGTGCTCAAGTCTCTCCTGCATGAAAGCTGCTTTTACCCTCTCTTTCACCTTGTTACTGCCTCAGTTCATTCAAAGTAACTTTTTGGTCAGTTGAAGCTTAACCAGTGTCAGGATATCTCAAAAATGTACAGTGTGGCCCATGTAGAACAGAAATAAACATGACTTTTCTCACTGCTAGCTGCAGTTTTTACGATTTTACACACAACTTTCCGTCTCTTAAGAAAAACGTTTTAAACCGCAGCAGAAAAAAAGGGCAGAGCAGGAAAATGGTAAGGCAGATGCAAACACCTACATGTTTTAAAAACTGACATGTTTTATAGAAGTTTAACCTCCAGTTCTATCAGTACTAATACTAATGATCCATATTTTAAAATGATGCATGATAGCATGAATAATTTAAGTGATTTTCATGCTTTCAAAAGGGTTGCCTGAGCAGGACCTATGCTGAAATTTGATAGGGGGTATACTCTGCATAATTCATTTATTCATTCATTCATTTTAATCAATCTGCCTGCTTTCATATCAGGATCAAGTGGACCACACTTCTATTACCCCTTTTCAGCTTTTTCAAAAGCCAACCTGGCAAATCTAGGTTTTCCTTTCAATCCAGCCTGATTCAAAGTGATTTATGGACTAAACGAGGACTGCTCCAACCGTTTCTCATCAGAAGGTCTGATGTGTCTGAGTGATTCCACACATTTTTGGTAGGAATAGAGGAGGGAAGATGTGAATAGTTCTATTGTCATCACCAGGAATTTGCAAGGTTGTTAAAAGCTTTCACAATCACACACCTTGTCTAATTTTTCTCAGTATTTCTGAAGCTTGCAATGAATCAAAATCAGAGTGCCAATGACCAAACTCGATTGCATAAATCTAATGCAAACAACCAAGGAAGGATCCAAATGAAGGAACGGTCATTTCTGTAGGATCATGAGAATGAGCATCTTCTGTTAGAATTTAATGAAGTTCTAATTAAAATATACAAGCAAAAGATAATTAAAGTGTGTCTAAGTGCTTCTGAAGGGTTGATGTAGGTAATGCCCTAAATTTCAGAATTTGGCATAAATCTGCAGATTATCATTTAATGCACAAATAAGTTAGCCTAGTGAACTAGACCAAATTCTTGCTTTGCAAAGTTTGGTCTAGGCATGCTCCATTGGAACCTCAGCAGCTCCTACCAGGACTCTGGCTAGCCAATCACAGCTCTCTAGAGGAGTTTCAAACACATAAAGAGCTGTGATTGGTCCATATTGGTGGGCCAATCATAGTGCTCTATCTGCTTAATGAACAAATCACAGAGCTTTATCCGCTTTGAGGGCCAATCAGGGCACTCTGTATGCCTGGTGGGTGGGATGATGCAACAGAGTGAAACAAGAGTATGTCACATTCTTTGTCCAGTGGAATGTGGAGATCATTTGAAAGACAACGGTAGAACTCGCCCCACAACCAAGAGCCGTCAATGGAGCATTGCCAGACTAAATAATACATTTATTTAGTCTGGCTTGCCAGGCTACAAATAAGTAACTCATTGATAAAATTGGGTAAACTGTTTGCTTGATGGGTGATTTTTTTTACAATGTAAAATATTTTAGGCATGCATTCAACAAACTGTAATAAGAACTAACTGTGTAATTAATTAAAATCCACCACATTTAATTGGCACATTTTGCCAACATCTGATCTAACTTCAGAACTGATTCAGTTTCAATATTTCAACTATTTGCAAAGTCACAGAGAAAGGGTATTGTAAGTACATCAAACAAAAAAACAACTAAAATGAGACTAATTATGGCTTAGTTAATTATATGATTTGTTTTTGTTTCTTAGACAACCAATAGGGGTTGAAATAGAAAATAAAAAATGAACTTTGTATCAGATTAAAATTTGATTTCAGATTGTTTTTCGCATATTCAGGATCTCATGTTGTTCGTGCAACCATGTATGTAACAAACTGCTCACGTTTCATTGGAAAAGATGGCAAATTTGAACTTGCAACAGATTAAAATTGGGATTCTGAAAGATTTGATCATATTTTGTTTTTAATAAAAAGCAAAACTACAGTTAAGTTAATATAAATACAGTTTGCAGTATTGAACTGGATAAATTCTTCTGTCACCGAGCTTTCAGAATAAAACTCTATCTTCTTCTGGGTTACAGAAATGGGTGAAAATACAAAAAGAAACACTTAAATGAAATGAGTTTGCATTTCTTTAGCAGACAAAACATGATTAAAAATGTCTCAGTATCATTCCTAAACATTAAAGTTTTTTGTTTTGTTTTCAAACACATACCTGAACTAAACTAACGGGTCACGTTTTAGTAAGTCTACAAGAACACAGAACAGTCCCCTCTCCCAAAGGTACTCACGGGTTCCATCAAAGTGGTTTGCGATGCTGTCCAAGAAGGTGTTTTGTGGAGCAAGTAGGCCCTTCATCACTGGCATTTTGAAAAGGATTTATGAGTTTCTGGTAGTTTGTCACCATTCCTTTAGAGCCACCTTAAAGAGAGAAAGTGTCTCGCCTTGATCTTGTCTGAATGTTTTCTGCAGATTGTAAATTCGAATCTACAAAAAACAAATTTAGCACATAGATTGTTGTAGAAAATGTCCTTTGGAGCGAGGACAACTCAGATGTGAAGCCGCTCTGTCTTGTTGCGTCAGAAATTGTCAGGTTCAGTTGCGCATCCCTGTTCGTTAAAGCCAGCTACAGTAAGGGCTCTGTCAGCCTAACTCCACCAACCATGGTTCCTGCCATCTCCGAGCCCCCTCCCTCTCTGATTCAAGAACACGATCCATTCCTCCCTTCCCTACACTGTGAATTCATTACACACCTCCTGCTGTCGCTTTTTCTTATCTGCTTTTTTCACTCCCCAGAGAAGTTATTAGAAATGACTTAAATTCTCTTTCTCACTCCTTTTGCTTCCATCTTCACTCAAAGGTATCAGGTGCTTTGTTTCAAATCTCTTTTCTGGCGTGAAGCTGCTTTCTGTCATACTGTAAGACGCTGAAAAAGAGCTTCAGCCTCTGCTTGTTGCTGTGGATACTCCCCGTCACACAAAGCTTTCTCAGTGTCTCTGCAGATCATTCTCACCATTGATTGCCCCTTTACTATCACATCCAGCTGTTGACACCAGACCCAACAACATGCTGCACTAATTGGCTCATGTCCTGTTTTGGGGAAACTGCATTACGTTATCACCTAATGATTGGTTCTGTTCTTTTGACTGAAGAAAATATGGATGTTCTTAGACTTCACACTCACACTGACTGAAAGAAACAGAATGTCATTGTTCTTTATATATTACCCTTGCTCATAGGCGTCATTTTAACCGGGGACGCAGGGGACATGTCCCCGGCAAAATTTGTGATTGGCAGCTGTGTCCCCCCCACTTTCAAAAAAGCCTGCTGATGAGGATTTTTGTTTTACCAGCTCAGATCTTATACCAGGGGTCGGCAACCTGTTCCCATCAAAGAGCCATTATTACCCATTTCCCACGGTAATTTTGGACGGACCTTAATAAGCAGTGACTTAAGTGAAGCAGGCAGGTCGCACTAGAAAATTTCGTTTAAAAAGACGTCATAAATGTTTTCCCCCGTCATTTTTATTTATAAAATATGAAGTAAAAACGCACAATTTAATTTTCATTCATTTGTCATTAATATTTAGTCTACACCCGTGCGTTAAGTGGGCCATCTTCCAGTAAAAGCAAAGCATCCAGCCCACCTCTCCAAATGCGTAAAATGTGCATCAGCTGCTAGTTAGGCGCGCCGCGCGCACCATCAGCTGATCAGCCCAGACAAGAGCAGAGCAACTAGAGAAAGAATAGAGGATAATTCTGTCTGGATGTGGATGGAGATTACATTTTACAGCAGCCTGATCATCATTTAAATACGTAAACCATCACCTGTCTTCTAGTCCACGCTATCAGCATTATTTTAATTGGTGTGTGTGTGTGTGTGTGTGTGTGTGTGTGTGTGTGTGTGTGTGTGTGTGTGTGTGTGTGTGTGTGTGTGTGTGTGACCAGACCTCACTAGTGCACCAGTTATTGTCCCCAGCAATTCTGAAAACAAACTGGTGCCCTTGCCCTTGCTTGTTTTATACTAGGGCAGGGATTCCCTAAGTGTGGTGCGCGCACCTCTGGGGGTGCGAGAGCTGCCGCTAGGGGGTGTGCGAGGTGAAAAGTGTAATGGCTGCGGAGCTCAGAGAAGTCTGTCATATGTCACCATTAGCGTAGCCAGAAACTCATTTGTGGGTGGGCCTAAGAAAAAGTAAGTGGGCACAATAAATGTAAATGAAAACAAGTATGGTGTGTGCAGAGGCGGTTTTACCATTAGGCATAGGTAGGCGGCTACCTGGGGCCCCCTTGTGTTGGGGGGCCTCCTAGCCCTGACCGCCGGCACCCCTCTGTTAATGTCACAATATTCTTATTACCAACCTGTCGCCGCAGACGGGATTGGACATGCTTCTCGTTACCATATTTCCTGAACCGTTCAAGATATCATTAAAATTCCAAAACTGCTGAAAAGATTAAAAATGGGGCTTTTGGTGCATATACAATACATTACGGTAGCCCCCGGGGTTCCCTGTCTTGAGCGCAACGAATCACAACACTGATTCAGAGATGTGCTGAGTTTGTCATCCAAAATGTTCCGTTTTATAACTTTTGAATGGCTGATCAGATTCAAAAAAATTCCAATGGTTCCTAAACGTACATAAAAGCAGCTTTCCAGCGATCTATAGCATGAAGCAATCAGAGTTAGGGAAAATATTACCACGAGGGGAAATCCTGCTGTACAGCCTGATTGAAACGGAGCGCAGCGCCGCGGTGAAAGCGGAAAATGGATAGGGGAAGCTAATTAGCATAAAAACCAGCATGAAATTATGGAAATGCCTCAAAGAAAATCAACACGATCTATTAGGTGTCCCAGAAGGCTTATATCTGAAGACAGTGACCACGAAGAAGGACAGATCTCCGGTGAACCAGGGTATGAATGTTTGTTCCGGCTTTAATTTTTTATTTGAACAACCCTCAAATATTTGCTAATTGTAAGATTCAGCTTCATCCCTGCATTATTTATGTTTTTACCATAAATAATTATATTTGCTAAAACAAAAGTTTTTGGTATAGCAGTGCACGGTGTGCAAGAGAACCACCCCATGGCAGTGTGAGGTGTTCTCTGCCTGCAGCTGGAGAGAAACTGCTTCAAAGTCTACCACATCAAATAAAAACGTCTGAAAGTTTACAAAAATAAATGGTCTTAAAAACTGCTAAAAAAGATACCAAGGTTCAAACTTTTTTAAGAATAGATGCATTACAGTTCAACCAGCCATTCCTCCCCATCCCCGCATATTTCTCTCCTCCTGCTCCCTCACATCATCACACAAACATACACATAGGACCTTGGGGGGTGGGCAAGTCAGGGAGTGCGGGTATGGACCCCATTTCCGCATTCCTGTGGAAACCTGCCCCCCAATTTTATTTGCACCTTATACACTTCCACTGACGACATTCCACACAAACACACACTTAGGGCCTTGGGAGTGAGCACATTCAACGGCATTTGGCAGGGGGATATTTCAGCCTCCTCCCGAGTGCCGGTGCCCACTTCCAATTTTAAACCGCACTTAGACACTGATGGCTGAGGGTGTAAGTGGGGTGGTGCGGTGGCATCAGCTGGCATATGCCGGATGATGCCCGCACTGCCCACTCACCACAGCCATGGAATACACCTCATGATCACACAACACTATATTGGAGCAGGTGGAGGGAGACTAGGGGTCTTAGCCACCTCTGTTGTTGCTTGGCTTCCTGGGGCTGGAGGCTAGGAGGGAGATCTGGCCGTCTGGTTGGGGTCTGGGGTGGTGGGTTGCTGTGCTCAGCGTTGGGCGGGGGAGCCTGCTCATCAGCACCCCAGCAGAAAGGGTCAAACTCTGGTTACCGGTGATGGTTGTACCCCATGTGCAGCAGTACCGGGACCAGAGTTAATAGGGTGTGTATGGGGAGCATGAGTGAGTGTCCGGCGTGCATTTTTGTAAGTCTTGGGTTGTATGTGCATGTGTGAGCATGAGGGAGGGAGTGTGTGACTGTGTTTGTGTATGACTGTATATGTCAGGTGGGGCCTTTGGGTCCTCCCCTCTCCTGGAACTTCTCTTGATGATATAGATCTTTGTCCCCCCTCCCCCTGCCACACCTGGTGTGGGGGCTTGTGCCATGGTCTGCCTGAGTGTTCGTGGCAACCGGGTCTGGGGGTTTAAGATTTTGGCATCTGCCTGATAGATCCCGGTGGCTGCCTGGTGGGGTCTGGGTCCCTGGGCTCTGCTGGGTCCCCGGCGGGGGTGGTCACCCCTGGGTCCCGGGTCGCTGGGTCCCGGGCTCGGCCGGCTAGGGGGTGGGAGGCTGCGGGCGGGCCTGTGGGCTTGCCACTGATATCTTCAGGGATTCTGCCGGCTGCTGGTTGTGGCCCCCCGGGGCGATCCTTTGTGCCTCTCGAGGGGGGCGGGGGCCTTTCTGGTTGCAGTCTCCTTGGGGTTCCTGCATTCTGGGGCAACGCCTGGATCTCTGGGACTTGGAGCTCCCCCCCGTCTCCTGCGCATCTTTGGGGGGCGGATCTGTGGTCCCTCACACTCTCTGTTAGGCGCTCCTATAGAAAAACCTTAAATAAACAAGCGCATGTACACACACAGGTGCTCACATGGTGCTCTCAAAACTATGGGCATGGGCACGTTCAACACATGTCTTAAGACTATGGGGGGCACTTAATGCATTGTGATTTATTATCGTGATTCTTCAGTTAAGCAATGTTGATTATATATATATATTGTTTTTTTTTGTTTTTTTTTTCATCAAGTTGACGCTGTGATAGGTAGATCTTGTTGTATTGTTGTTGTGTCCCTTTTTTGTGTCCTTTTTTTTTTTTTTTTGTCTTTTTCTGCAGGTCTAGAAGCAGACTCTTGTTCATTGTTTATTTTTGTGGAACCCCCCCCCCCCCCCCCCCTCCCTCCTCTCTCTCCACCTTTTCTCTTCCATTCTCTTTCACCTCTGTCTCTGTGTCTGGTCGGAATTACAAAGCATTCAACAACAATAACAATAAAGTTTTAAGTATCAGGCGTGACATTAAAAGCAAACGCTTTGATGCTCCACCTGAGAATAAATCTGTAAGGCTTGTCACCAGCATTCAGACATCAATTCTGCTTGCTTCACAGCCAGACAGGACACGGTAAAAAAAAAAAAAAAAAAAAAAAAGAATAGATGCATTACAGTTCAAAGTTTAAATTGTTCATTCCAAATTGTTTGCCCAGTCATTTTGAAGTTCCTGTTCAGTAATAAATGTAAAAAAAATTCAAATCCGTTTTTTTGCTTTTTCACTTTTAAGCTGATTTTTTAAAGGCTTTAATAGAAATAAATTCTAAATACAAACATACACTAAAAGCTGAGGTTGTTCTGAAAAAGGGAGAAGAGTTACACACACTTTGCACTTTTTATTATAATTTTACAGCCATAAGATTTTAAAAAAAAAACTAGGCGGCCCTGTTACAACTATGGTCATAAGAGGGTTATTAAGACGGTGATGCATAAACAGGAAGTGATTGGTAGTCATTCCACTCCAATCCAGTTGGTGGCGGTAATGCACCAAATTGTTGTTTGCTAAGTGCCATAAGACCACAAACAAGAAGAAGAAGAAGAGAGGCGGGAGCGTTCGTAACAAACTCAAAGTGATAGTTAAAACATGAAGCATGAAATGGAGTTGTCCTAGTGGCTCCAATAAGAGAAAGCAGCAGCTTGCTTCAAAAAAGCTTTTGTTTTCACTTCTGAAAGTGACGTCGTTTCTCGATGTAAACATCAAAAGGAAGCAGAAAAGAAAGACAATGGAAAATGTTTAAAAGGAGGAAAACATTGACCAAAATGGAAAATAGAAAAAAATAACAAACGCAAAAGCACAAGAGCACTGACAGGAAAAAGAAAGCAGAGCAAATATTGAAAGCGCTCAAAAGGAGGGAAATACAGGAAAAAAGAGGAGAACTAATAATAAGGGAAAATAACTCATGTCAGAAGAGGGGAGAGTTTCGCAAATCCAGTTAAAGGTAAGATTGCTGAAAATTTAGTGTAAGGGGCCCCCATGTCTGTGTTCGCCTTGGGCCCCCAAATTGCTAAATCCGCTTCTGGGTGTGTGTGTGTGTGTGTGTGTGTGTGTGTGCAGTGGCGGCTGGTGAAAAATATTTTTGGTGGGGCTGTGCTATTTTTTTTAAACAAACTTGTGCTTTCTGAGCTTTGTGCACAACTTCACTATTTCCTGAATTAAGCACAGCTCTTTTATTTCCTGTCTTGCATCATTGGACAAACTGATTAATCCAGGTGTGTCTGACTATTGGCACGCTGCCTTGCAGACCAAGGTTGAAAAATACTGCATTAAATTGCACATAAAATAACACGACCATAAATGGTAAATAGGCAATGCAAGAGGCAAGTAACAAAAACATTTTGTTTAATTTCAACATTTGAGTGAACACGAAAAATTATGAGCAGGTCACTGTTACAGTAATGGTAGTAAACACTACTTAGACAAAATGCCAGAAATTTACACTGTTAGGACTTATGGAAAGTGGAAACACTTTCATAGGAAATAATGTCATCAGTATCCTCTTGCAAATGTCATATTTCCCACTTTTTGGGACAATAAAACATTTCTGGTTCTCAATGAGATGTTTTTACTTCAAATGTAAAAACATCTCATTGAGAATCAGAAATGTTTTATTGTCCCAAAAGCTGGGAAATTTGTTTGCTGCAGCAGAAGTGTAACAAGTAAAATGGAATCAGATTGATGTATGTACAAATTTACTTGAAATACACATTTACATGATTAAATATGTATAATAGGTATGTGTGTTGAAATTAGTTTTTACAGTTATTGCACATTAAACAATGTACATGTTATTAAACAAATGTCCCGGTTTGTGGGACAACCAAGGATTTCTGATTCTGATTGTCTTGTTTACAGAAATGTAATGTACAGCTTACCTCTGCACCCAGCTGCTGTTGTTCTCCCTGTCCAAACGTCCTCCATTTCTTTGTTGGCTGCTGCACTGATGCGCTGCATTCCTCAGTCAGAGAATGAATGGAGTCCCCAATGAGACACAAGTTCCACATCCACCTACTGTTGATCCCAGCCGTTTTGAATAACAAACACAGAAAGCAAAATAACGCATTAGCGTGATCGCATCCAGCTAGCCAAGCCTTCCAGAAGCCTGGTGTGTACAGTTTACCTCTCTCCTCCTCCTGCTGGCTTATCTTTACGTCGGGCTGATCTGGTCCAAGCTCTTTGACATTAAGTTTTTCCACCATAGTTCTCCTCTCGAACGGATACTGGAGAAGAGACCGAACTGAATTCAGTGGCTGCTGAGATCCGGTATCCATGTTGTAGGCGCACTGGCGTCCATGTCTACGTCTGCGTCATGACCGTCACGAGTCACGACCAAAAACGTGCTGGAGTCGAGACTCTCCGAGTTCTACCGAACACCAACGAAAGCCTTGGCGGTAGCTCTATCGCCCATCATGCTTCTGAAACGTTCTGAACCAACGTCGACGCTGATTGGATACATTCCCATTCCTACCCTTTGATTTTCTTGTCAGCAATTGGACAACTGGTCTCGTCTTGTTTGGGCAATTAAAAAACAGCACACAGCCTCCACCGCTCGGCAGAGACCGGCAGAGATCGGCAGAGACCAGCAGAGACCAATATAGATACATATATATATATATATATATATATATATATATATATATATATATATATGATTTATTTTTGTTACAAAACACACAATTAACTTAGAATATGTGATTATTGTTAATTTTATTTATTTATTTTTTTAAATAAAAATTAAAAACACAGGGGAAACTGGGAGGGCGGCGCCCTATCGCCCTCTACTGGCCAGCCGCCACTGTGTGTGTGTCCTATGCATGTGCCCTAGCTTCATAATAATAATGCGCCGAGCTTCAGCGCTCTGGCCTGCACACGCTGTCAGTAGCAAGATATGTTCCGTATTTGATCATTTTTAACGATTTTGGAGAAATTTGAAGGTGTTGAGTCATTCTGGCAGATTGTAATTAACACCCTGTCTGATGCAGGTGTTCTGACATTGTAAACCTCACACACAGAACATTGTGGATGTAACAAAATAAATCAAGAAATGATTCCCATCTGAGCATTTTAGCATTATTATATTATTATATTAGCACACTGATTGTGGGACAGCATTCTAAACGTGTCAGGCTATTAACAGCCCGCTGAAGATCCGAAGTTCAGAGTGCGTCTGTCAGAGGTCAGACGCGTTCCAGCGGAACCACGGCTCATGGGTGCACATGTGAGCACATCTGGGCTGGGCAGAAGTAATTTTACAACATTGGTTTAAATAGCGCCAATAACGAGACTCTGTGACTGGAGCGGCTCACGGAGCTGTGCCTCACACACACACAAGCACACACACACATACACACACAGATTCAATAACCGCACGCGGCGTGGCGTGGCGGTGCGCCGCGCCATCAGCCTGAAGGCAGAAATGAACGCTGCCTCTTCTGTGATTAAAAACTTTTAAGAGGTTTTATAATAACATTTTTCATTCAAGGTCAAATTAAGATATTAGCTTCTATTTTGGGATGACATATGAAATTTGAGTCCCTCCAGCCAGTGACTCCTCATGAACCTGACCACAACTCATGTTACCGCAGCATTTGTTATTCCAGTCCGTGTGGCAGTGGATCGCAGATTCAGCCACACCATAAAACAGCAATAAGTTGGTCTGAGGCAAAAGTGAACCTCATGGCTATAGCTTTTCCATCTTTTCCCCTATGGACATTTGATTACGCACAAGTAGGTGACCAGTTTAGGTTTATGCAGAGTAGAAGGAAGGAGAGCGCTCTGGCCTCAGGTTAAACGTTCCTACTTTAAGAAAACCATTAAATTACATTGTTTATGTGCTAGCTGGGCACTCTAAATATTTATTGAATGTTTACTAATTACTATTTAAAAAATGAAAGTGATGGGGAAAAAGGTCGATCATATTTTTTTTAACCCTGTCCGTCGAGTGACTGTTTAGCTTAACATCTGATATATATATATATATATATATATATATATATATATATATATATATATATATATATATATATATATATATATATATATATATATATATATATATATATGTATATGTATATATATATATATATTTATATATATATATATAGCCATAGCCTGTTGTGGGGGCTGGGGGGTGCATCAACATGGTCGGGACATAGAAGGGGGTGTGCGGCTAAATAAGTTTGGGAACCGCTGTACTAGGGGTTTCTAACTTGGTCTGCCTTGGTCTTTTATACAGTGTATACAGAAATTACTCAGACTCAAATTTGGGCACTGTAGTTATTTTTTTTATTCCAAAACCTTTAAAACTAATTATTGGAACTCAAAGATGGGTTGGTAACCTCAGTGACCCTTGACCTCAATACACAAGTGAATCCAGTTATGAGAATGATTTATTTAAAGAGACCAATTGTAAGTTTCCCTCCCCATTGAATATTCTCTGAAGAGCAGCAACATGGCAACTCTCACGTGAGCTGAAAACAAAGATTTTTCATCATCGTGGTTTAGGAGAAGGATACAGTAAGCTGTCTCAGAGATTTCAGCTTCTGTTTCCTCAGTTAGGAACATGCTGAGGAGATGGAATACCACAGGCTCAGTTCAAGTTAAGGCTCAAAGTGGCAGAGCAATAAACATCTCAAATAATCAGAAGTGAAGAACGGAGAGAACAGTCAGAGTCAAGCCCCCAGACCAGCACCAAAGACCTACAACATCATCTTGCTGCAGATGGTGTCTCTGTCCATTGTTCTACTATTTGGTGCACTTTACACAAGGAGATGCTGCATGTGAGAGTGATGTAGAGGAAGCCTTTTCTCCACCCACAGTACCAACAGAGCTGCTTGAGGTTTGCTGAAGCACATCTGGACAAGCCAGCTTCATTCTGGAATAATGTGCTGTGGACTGATGAAGCTAAAACTGAGTTATTTGGGCGTAACAAGGGGCGTTATGCATGGAGGAAAAAGAAAACAGCATTCCAAGACAAGCACCTGCTACCTACGGTAAAACATGGTGGTGGTTCCATCATGATGTGGGCTGTGTGGCCAGTGCAGGGACTGGGAATCTTGTTTAAGTTGAGGGATGCATGGATTCCACTCAATATCAGCAGAATCTGGAGACCAATGTCCAGGAATCAGCAACAAAGCTGAAACTGCGCCAGGGCTGGATCTTTCAACAAGACGACGACCCTAAACACTGCTCAACATCTACTAAAGCGTTCATGCGGAGGAACAGGTAGAACGTTCTGGAATGGCCATCTCAGTCCCCAGACCTGAATATTAGTGAAACTGTGGTGTGAGTTAAAGGCTGTGTCTCAATTCAGGGTCTGCATCCTACCTCGGCCGGATTCGTCGGCCGGTTACGTCACAGCGCCGCAACTCGGCCTGTCCCAATTCGAAGACTCCTTCAAATGCGGTCGACGAATGCGGCCTTCTTTTCGCCTGAATGAAGGATGGGTCGGGTGTATCCTTCAATAGGTAGCATTTCCCAAGATGCCTTGCGGGCCGGCCGGCAGAAAAACTTAAAAACAATGGCGGACAGTGAAGCGGGAGCTGTCGGAGAGAATTGCGCATATAAATGTAAGTATAAACTTGAAAACTGTCAGTTTAAGGACTTTTTGTGATACATGAACGTTATTTTAGTTAGAAATGTTACAGTAAAAGTGCTTGTATTGCGGTCTCGGCTCGTATGTTCGGCCGCGCTCGGTGTCGTACTTCTCCCACTACGTTTCCCCCTGATTTTAATAGAAGTTTGTATTTTAGGACCAAAAGAGAAAACCAGGGAATTTATTAAGCTTAGGGCGGAGATGGACCACATGATCACCGGAGCAAAGTATTCGGCGGCTGTGGCATGGAGGTACAATAACATCTCATATTTTAAAAACTCGTTTGAGTATATTTTTTTCTGCGAAAACATGAAAGGAATAACCCGTTGTCCTCTTTTCTCTTCCTGTTTCTTTTCTTACATGTTTGGTAAGACTATTCTGGAGAAAATGGGCATCCAGGGGAAGGTGCCAGCGATGAGCTTCTGGAGCTGATCTGGGAGGACATGAGGCTGCAGAGCAGCAGAGAGCACAGGAGAGAAGGAAGAACTTTGACAGCTTTTTACTTTGCTAGAAAAAAATGGTTAATGAAGATTAAACATGTACATGTAAAAGAAATATCTAAATAAAATCAGTTCTGCATTAAACTCTTGAATTTTATTTTTGTTTACAAATGAGAATTGTTTACTAGAGGGTATCCGCTGGGTCTTGAAAAGTCTTAAAAGGTGATAAATCGGTTTTGGTCAAAGTAAGACCCTTAGAAAGTATTAAAAACTATTATCACATCTTTGCTCAGGCTCAGCTAGTCTAAAGTATTTTCTCTGAATTAGCTCTCCAACAGTCAAGGAAATGATTAACCCCCAGAGACCCACGGTTGTAGTATCACAACATCAGATTTAAGTCTACAAAAATAAACCTTCCCCATTTTTTTTCTTTTTAAAACCACATTTACATTGCTAATAGGTCCTATTCAGTTCTGCAACACTATTGGCTGTTAAAATGTGTAAATAGGCCCGTTTATCTGGCCTCCTAGAACAACATGTGAAAGGTTAAAAATATTTTGCAGTTGTTTTCTAAATTTGGGTTTCTGGGGGTTAAAAAGCTAAATAAAACGTCGAGCTCCATCGTTTAAGGTTCCTTCTGCCCAGCGGTTCCACGGTTGCTAGGCGACGGAACGTTCGCCGAGGGAGTTCATGAAGGCTAGGCCTGTCCAAATTCACAGCCGTTAACATCCGGTCTACCCGGCCGACGGAGGACGCAGCCCACGTCGGCCGGGTGGGCTGGGTCCTTCGAAGGATGCAGACCCTGAATTGAGACACAGCCAAAGAGAGCTGTCCATCTGACCTGAATGAACTAGAGATGTTTTGTAAAGAAGAATGGTCCAAAATACCTTCAACCAAAATCCAGACTCATTAGAAGCTATAGGAAGTGTTTAGAGGCTGTTATCTCTGCAAAAGGAGGATCTACTAATTATTGAGTTAATTTATTCTTTGAACGTTCAAAACATTCGGGTGGAGGCGGGGGACATTGAGTCTGAATAGGCCCTGTTCGATACCTCCATTGTTGAGAGGGCTGACCAGATCTGTGGCCACAGGGGCAACCCCCGAACCCGCTGGTGAAAGAGTTCCATCTGGTCTTTTTGGCCTGTGGGACTCCAGAGGCAGCTGATAGGTACAGACAGTACAAGCGGAATGCAGCTCAGGAGGTCACAGAGGCAAAAACCCGGGCATGGGAGGAGTTCGGAAAGACCGTGGAGCAAGACTTCTGCATGGCTTCGAAGTGATTCTAGTCCACCATCTGGCACCTCAGGAGGGGAAAACAGTGAGCTGCCAGCACTGTTTATAGTGGGGATGGTGTGCTTCTGACCTCTTCTTGGGACATTGTGGAATGGTGGGCGAAATACTTCGATGACCTCCTTATCTCACCGGCATATCTTCCAGTGAGGAAGCAGAGCCTGGGGACTTTGGGTTGGACTCTCCAATCACTGGGGCTGAGGTTACTGAAGTTATCAAAAAGATCCATGGTGGCAAGGTTCCAAGGGTGGATGAGATCCACCCAGAGTTCCTTAAGCCTCTGGATGTTGTAGGGTTGTGTTGGCTGACGCGGCTCTGCAATATCGCTCGGACATTATGGGCAGTTCCACTGGACTGGCAAACCGGGGTGGTGGTCCAAGATGTGGTCCAATTACAGGGGATCACACTCCTGAGCCTCCCTGGTAAGGTCTATTCAGGAGTTTTGGAGAGGAGGGTCCATCAGATTGTCAAACCTCAGATTCAGAAGGAACAATGTGGTTTTCGTCCTGGCTATGGAACACTGGACCAGCTCTATACCCGTAAGCTTGGTTTATGCTTGACGCATTCACTTTCCGCGCGGTGATGCGGCTCGCGGCTGGAATGCGCTTCACAACTCGCAGCGTTTATGGTTTGTGCGGCTCGTCTCTGCGGTGAGCCAATATTCTCCCAAACTGAACGGGGCAGCATGGAGCTCTATGGCAAGAATCCAACACTACACCATAGTAGAAGTAGAAATGACTGTTTACAACATGGCATTCCAGCATTTTTAACAGCGTTCTCATCTTTTCCGACAGTGCGAGCTATTTCTCTCCAAGAATTATTAACAACACATTGATCACGGTGATCTCTGAGAGCTGAATCATACAAATGTCTGTATTTACGAACCTCTGCCGTGCCGGTCCGCCATGTTTTTCCGCGTCCGACCGTCCGCGTGGTTAGAAATTTTCCGAGGTGCGCGTTGCGGAAATCTTGGGCCGTGCGGAGACACGGTGGAGGGGCGTGGTTGTTAAAATGACGCAAAATGACGCAACTTTTCCGCGCTGAGCCGTGCGGACCTCGCGGACGCGTCAAGCATAAACCAACCTTTAGGGGAATCCTGGAGGGTGCGCACGAATTCGCCCAAACAATCTACATGTGTTTTGTGGATTTGGAGAAGGCGTTCGACCCTGTATATTGGGGGCCCTGTGGGGGTAATCCGAGAGTATGGGTTATCAGGCCCTCTGATATGGGCTGTTAGGTCCCTGTATGACCGGTGTCAGAGCTTAGTCCTCATTGCTGGCAGTAAGTCGGGCTCGTTCCCAGTGAGAGTCGGACTCCGCCAAGGCTGCCTTTTGTCAACACTTCTGTTCATAACTTTTATGAATAAGATTTCTAAACGCAGCCAAGGTGTTGAGGGAATCCATTTTGGTGATGAGAATCAGCTCCTCCAAATCTGAGACTATGGTCTTGAGTCAAAAAAGGGTAGAATGCCATCTTCGGGTCAGGGATGAGGTCCTGCCTCAAGTGGAGGAGTTTAAGTATCTCGGGGTCTTGTTCACGAGTGAGGGAAAGATGGAGCGTGAGATCGACAGGCAAATTTGTGCTGCATCTGCAGTGATGCAGACATTGTACCGGTCTGTTGTGGTGAAGAAAGAGCTGAACCAGAAGGCAAAGCTCTCAATTTACCTGTCAATCTATGTTCCTACCCTCACCTGTGGTCACGAGCTTTGGTAGTGACAGAAAGAACGAGGTCGCGGATAAAAGCGGCCAAAATGAGTTTTCTCTACATGGTGTCTGGGCTCTCCCTTAGAGATAGGGAGAGAAGATCAGTCATCCAGGAGGGGCTTGGAGTAGACCTGCTGCTCCTCCACATCAAGAGGAGCCAGTTGAGGTGGCTTGGGCATCTGATTAGGATGCCTCCTTGACACCTCGCTGGTGTTTTATGAGCACATCCAACCGGGAGGAGACCTAAAGGTAGGCCCAGGACATGCTGGAGGGACTACGTCTCTGGCCTGACCAGGGAACAATTTGTGATTCCCCAGAAGAGCTGGCCCAAGTGGCTGAGGAGAGAGAAGTCTGGGCTTCTCGACTTAGGCTGTTGTCCCACGACCTGACTCTGGATAAGCAGACGAAAATGGATGGATGAATGGAATCTTTATTTTTTGTGGTGCCCAAATTTATATACCTGCCTAATTTTGTTTAAATGATGAATGCACACTTTGTCTAAATCCTATAAACTTTGTTTCACTTCTCAAAAATCACTCTGTGTTTCCAATATGTGCCATTTATCTGAATTGTTTTATCATGACAACCAACAAGATGGCGCCTGTGCTTGGCTTAGCCGCAGTCACCGGCCACTTTTTCAAACTTTTCTCCACTAACCTCCTCTTTTCCACCTTGCTCCTGTCTGCGATCCTCTTCAGTAGTGTTCCTGCTACCATCTCCTATGATCGCCAGACTCTTTTGTCCTTCCATTCGTTCACGATCGCCCAAGATGCACCCAGGACATACCATCCTGTTTGTTTACCTGAGTGGCGCACTGGCCCGGAGCCAAATGACGGTCGCGAGCTGCCTGCCTCCGGCTATGTCTGTCCGGTCCCGGGAAAACGTCGGGGGAAAAGAGGTAAACGAGCAGGAATCCAGGTGAGAATAAGACTTCTCTTAAAGCGTGGTTTATCTAGTAAATATCGGCACGATCTTCTAGCTTCTTGTCCTTTGTTTGGTGACCTGAGCGCCACTTCCGCATTCCCGCCAGGCCGCATTGCAGCGCGGTTCATCCGTCCAAGTTTTTTAAGGTCGGTTTATCCTCATTCCTCAGTGGTTTCTCCTCCTGTTCCCTCCATAAGTGGTTTTTATAAACACCGTGGATCTAACCCTGCTAATTTACGTCCACTAACTCCAGCTGTTTCTGTAGTTTCTGATTCCTCCACCTCACTCAGCATGGCTCTATTAAATACCCGCTCTGTTAACAATAAGTCCTTCCTGCTCAATGATCTAATTCTCTCTAAAAACCTGGATTTTCTGTTTCTGACTGAAGTTTGGCAGCAAACATCTGATTATTCTGGTCTGATTGAACTCTGCCCGAGTGGTTATTCTTTTCTTAGCCAGCCCCGGGGTTCTGGTCATGGTGGAGGCCTAGCTGTTGTTTTCAGAGACCATCTTCCATGTAGCTCTTCCACCTCTGGTCACTTTGCTTCCTTTGAACTGCAGCTGATTAAAGTTGGACGTAAGGACCCGTTCTACTGTGCTATGGTCTATCGTCCACCTCGTCCAAACAGTTCTTTCCTTCAGGAGTTTAGTGACTTTCTATCCTCCACTGTGAAGCTGTCCCGATTGGTGATTGTTGGTGACTTTAACATCCACGTTGATGATCCCTCCGATCTCTTTGCCATGAATTTCTCCAGCTTTATGGACACCTTCAGCTTTACCCAGCATGTTTCTGGCCCCACACATGCCAGGGGGCACACTCTAGACCTTGTTTTTACTCTGAGTCTAAATGCTGACAGTGTTTGTCCTGAGGACGTTTATATTTCAGATCACCATTGCATTTTCTTTAACTTGTCAGTTTCTGCATCCCCACCTCCTGCTCGCCGTATGGTTAGTTCTCGTTTTCTGAATGAGAGCACAGCTAGCAATTTTTCTACTGCTTTTGATCCACCCTGTTCTTCTGATAACGACCCAGATTCCTTAACTTCTCAGTTTAACGAGCACTGCCTCTCCATTCTGGACAACATCTGTCCTGTCAGAACCAGATCAGTTCCTGCAGTGAACCCTACTCCCTGGTTTATTGACAGCCTTCGCAGCCTGAAGCGCCAATGCAGAAAAATTGCAATGCTGCACCTAAAGGATCTTCTGACATCCTTTAACTCTGAAGTCAGAGATGCGAGGGTTTCCTATTTCTCCAACCTGGTGTCCCAGAGCAAAGGGAACCCCAAGGTGCTGTTTAACACCATCAGCAGCATCGTCTCTCCTGCCTCTCCTACAGCCTCCATCCACTCTGTTACAGACTGTGAGAACTTTCTGTCTTTATTTGTGGACAAAGTCAATAAGGTTAGATCTAGCATCTCTCCTTCAGCCTTATGGCTGCCTCTCCCGACTCCAACCAGGCCCATCATCCTAGATAGCTTTGCTCCTGTTTCTTTGCCTGAGTTAACCAAACTAGTTAACTCTATAAAGACCTCTGCATGCCCCCTCGACATCTTACCCTCATCTTTGTTTAAAAGTGCTTTTCAGTCCATCGGTCCCAGCATGATCTCTATATTTAATGCTTCTCTGGTTTCTGGTCAGGTCCCTGCTTACTTTAAGAACGCTGTAATCCACCTGCTTCTTAAAAAACCGAGTCTCGACCCCTCTCTCCATAGCAGCTTCAGACCCATCTCTAAACTTCCGTTCATCTCCAAGATCTTGGAAAAGGTTGTGGCTAAACAACTCACAGCTGCTTTTGATGAACATAACATCTATGATAGCTTCCAGTCAGGTTTTCATAGAGCTCATTCTACTGAAACAGCTCTTCTTAGGGTCTCTAATGACCTTCTGACTCACAGTGATGCAGGGGACTGTTCTCTTCTGGTCCTGCTGGACCTGACTGCAGCCTTTGACACTGTTGACCATCACCTGCTACTGGAGAGGCTGAGAGACTGGGTAGGCCTATCAGGATCTGCTCTGGAGTGGTTCTCCTCTTATCTGTTTGAGTGCTCCTTTACTGTGGCCGTCTCCAAGTTTAGGCCCTCCACTACCTCTCTTACCCATGGTGTCCCACAAGATTCTGTGCTGGGGCCTCTGCTCTTCCTCCTCTATCTGCTTCCTCTTCAGCACATCCTGAGCTCCTTCAAAGGAATCTCTTACCATCTTTATGCAGATGACCTCCAACTGTACATCTCCTTTAAGCCCCATGAGATGTCTAAGCTGCAGATGTTACACACCTGCTTAGACTCTATCAAAACCTGGATGGCTGGGAGCTTTCTACAGCTGAATGAAGATAAGACTGAGATCCTCATCTGTGCCCCAGACAAGCTGGTTCCCAAAGTCAGAGACTCTCTTGGTCAGCTTGCTTCCCACACCAAACCTTCTGTCAGGAATCTTGACGTGACCTTTGACCCAGCTCTCACCCTGGATTCTCATGTCAGTTCTCTTGTTCGCTCTTCCTTCTTCCATCTCAGGAACATTGCTAAGCTGAGTCCCATTCTGTCCTGCTCTGAACTTGAGACAGTTCTCCTCACCTTCATCTCCTCACGCTTAGACTACTGTAACTCTCTTTTCACGTGTCTGAGCAGAACCTCCCTGAACCGTCTACAGGTGGTTCAGAACGCCTGTGCTCGGCTTCTGACCAAGTCCTCCAAATACACCCACATCACCCCGCTTCTCCTCCAACTTCACTGGCTGCCAGTCAACTTCAGGGTTCATTTCAAGATCCTGGTTCTGGTCTATAGGGCCTTACATGGACAAGCACTATCTTACATTGGTGATCTTCTTAGTCCCTACACCCCCAGCAGGTCCCTGAGGTCCAGTGATCAAAGTCTACTGGTTGTGCAGCACCAGGCTAAAGACCAAAGGTGAAAGATAATTTGCTGCTGTGGCCCCCAGACTCTGGAACTCTCTCCCCTGAGCCTCTTATCAGTGGACTCAGTGGACTCCTTTAAAAAGCAGCTGAAGACTCACTTGTTCAAGGTGGCTTCTGTATGACCTTCTTCACCACTCTCTCTTTATTCTGCTCTCCCCACCTATTCCACCTTCCTCAGGATCCACTGATTTCCCTCTTTCCTATTCACTCTCTCTCTTTCTCAACATTTTTTTCTAATCACAATAGCCTATTTTTGCTCATTTTAATATATTTTTAAACATTTTCTAAATGCTTTTTTTATATTTTTACATTTTTTGTTTTTGTGAAGCGCCTCGTGATTTTTATCTTGAGAGGCGCTATAGAAATGATATTTTCTTCTTCTTCTTCTTCTTCTTCTTCTTCTTCTTCTTCTTCTTCTTCTTCTTCTTCTTCTTCTTCTTCTCCTTCTTCTTCTTCTTCTTCTTCTTCTTCTTCTTCAATTTATACAGGAGAATCATGAAGATTAACAAGGCTGCCCAAAGTTTTGCATCCCATTGTGTTTGTGAATGTTATACTTTGGTTTATTTTGGGCTTTTTGCCCCTGCTTGTGCAGGACTTAGGGCAGCTGCCATGCTGTGTTTAAATGTACTTTATAAATAAAGTTGGCATGTCATAGTATGGGCATTCAACAAAAAAAGCAGTTCAGAAACCTGTACATAGATGAGGAGATTTGGATACAAACTGGTCCTTAAATCAGCTGAACTGTGTTTGTTTATAGGCTCTGGTCATTCATGAGTGGCTTCTGGAACTGAGTCAAAATGTAGAAAACTGTATAAAGTAACAACGAAAAAAGAAAAAACAGAAACAATTATTGAAGAGATGAAGAATAAGGAGCAAATTACAATTTAACAGTTTCATTCTAAAAAAAGGTGGACCACTTTTCTTCATCTTCTCACTTGTAGCTTCTTCCATTGTGATGGCCTTTAATCCTCAAACAGCAGGTATCAATGCCAACCAATGTGGGCTTTTATGTAGACCTGTTGGGTATTTTTATCCATTTATCATTTAATCAGTCCAGGCATACCTCAAAGAAAGTCCATCACACGCAAAGGGGTTAGAGATATTAGGTTATCAATACCATTTATCAATGAACAACCAATAATCAACAACCAGATTTTGCAAAACCGGAGAGAAAATAAAGACACGCACCAATGGGATATCTGTATGGTCTCTCATCGAGCCGAAGCTCTCAAAAAGGTTTTATTCACAAGTAACATAGCACACACACATTAAAGATAAACACACCCACCCCCTTCACAGAAAGCCAACTTTCCAAGGTTCCTGGTATAACAGAGAAACGCTCCGTCTGGACGTAACTAGGGAGCTTTATGTGATAACAGGACTGCAGATGTACAAGGTCGAACTTCCCTGCCGGAGGTGCAGAATAATAACAATTTATGAACAAGGGATGAACCTTCGTTTGAATTAACAAACCCCAGATGGTACCCAGACAAAATCATTTCCATACATCCATACATCCAATACTGTTTTTATCCAACACCTTCCTTGGTTAGAATACAGGTGCTCATCAGCCATGTACAATAGAAATATCATTTATTGTCCCACAGTGGAGAAATCCAGGACTTCAATTACTTAAAGGTTGGCATTTCCATCAAAAGCTAAATTTGAGAAATTTCTTCACCTACTCTGTGTTTTAGTTCAATGTCAGTTTTATGAAGCTGCTCTGCCTAAGTGCTCTTGTCACAGCAGAGAAGGACTCACCTGCTGTCAGGTCCCAGGTCCAGGTGGGTAAAAGTCCCTGAAATAGAAGAAGACCCAACAGGAGACTTTGGATTAGGGCTGACAAAGCTTCTGGCTTCTCTGTTTGACAAATCAAAGTAGAACAATTTCATTTATCTGAACTAAACAAACATTATGCAAATAAATTATTATATTTTTCTTACTGCTGGAGAGTCCGATTTTGAATACAATAATTGATTAATTAACAACTCAGAAAAAAGCGTGAAGACAATAAAGTTTAGTCAAAGCTTTTGCAATGAATAAATCTGTTTTCAGGATTTAAACCCATTCATGAAGTAAAAAAATATATGAATCAGAGGATCCTTAAAAATGTCAGCTTTTAAATAATGTAAGCTACCCACATGTTTAAAAGAATATAGAATATAGTATTTTTTCTACTAACGTAACCCTTCTATTTTATTTGTGAATATATCTGAAGAGGGGGATCACAAGCATCACAAGCATCGATGGGGATTCAAACTGTGCACAGCAACAGTTAATTAACAGAACACACGTCGTTGTTTGGTGGGAGGAACTGAAACATCTAATTTTGAACTGAAGAACATCTTATTGTTAGACGTCTGTGTTACATTTAGAGGAAGCTGCTGCCTTCCTTTCCTTGGACAATTCAGCATTTACATTAATACATACATGGCAGCAGTAGCTCAACAGGTTGAGCGGGTTGTCCAGCAATCGGAAGGTTGCAGGTTCAGTCCCAATATCCGGACAGAGAATTCTGTTGTTGTGTCCTTGGGCAAGACACTTAACCCACTTTGCCTGCTGGTGGTGGTCGAAGGGACTGGTGGCGCCTGTGCTCGGCTGCCTCGCCTCTGTCTGTGCTCCCCAGGGCAGCTGTGGCTACATCGTAGCTCATCACCATCAGTGTGTGAATGTGTGTGTGAATGATACACTGTAGTGTAAAGCGCTTTGGAGTCCTTACTCTGAGAGGCGCTATACAAGTGCGAGTCATCATATTTTCTAAATTAGTGAGATTTTTCCCATCTTTTGATTGGCCACAGATCATTTTACTAATCAGCAGAATCAGTTGAATCCGACTCTCTGATAGGAAATCGGACTGCGCCTTGGAGCAAAATTGTTTTTCTTTGATTTTCTGTTTGTAAAAATGTGTGATTATTTTTTTAAAGAATGAACAAATCTGAATAAAACACACTTACTGATCATTCATGAAACCTGGTCTTGGATTCAAATTTTTAATTACCATAATCACAAAGTCATTCACATTTCCAAAGGTTATAGCTTCATGTGTAAAGCTTACAATCATTCATCTTTAAATAATGCAAAAAGATGCATTTTGCACAAGTACACATCACAAAACAAAATAGATTTCATACAAACACTGTCCCAAAATGGTTCATGTTAAACAGAGAGATTAGATGTTTTTGTCTTGAATAAGCCAGTTCACTGCTCCCCAGTTGGCCCAGTGGTCCTCCTCCCCATCGTCAGGATCCCTGCTGCTTGGTTCCTGGAGCTGTGAAGAAGCTGGTGGAGTCGGCTCTGCAAGCGATACTCATTCTCGTCCCGTTTACCCAGCGTGAGGATCCCAGCAGCTGCATCTTCTACAATTGTTCCCCCCATGCTATTGCTGCCAGAACGGCACAGTAAGACATAGAGGCGGCAGGAGTGAGGAGGCTGTCTGCAGCACTCAGACACAATTTGGGCGTTACAATCCAGCTGAGACAGCAGCAACATCAAAACGAACACCAGGGCTTTCTGTTCAGGAAAAGAGAATAGCTTTGAAACGTGATTTTTTTTTCTAATCCCAAAACCTTGAAAAGCCACTAACCTTCACATTTGTAGAATATAAACACATTTTCTAAGCATTAGTCAATAAGAAAACATTAACAGTACTACATCCATCTGAGGGGAGTGTTGTTTCTTTGTGCAAAACAATATTATATTTAAGTTGCCTCATATTTCTTTCACCACACACTTATTCCCCGAATGCAGGCTGGTGGTTTAGTTTCTAGGCTAAACAAAAAAAAAAACGTCCAAATTTTAAATTGTGTTGTATAAATGTGTATTAATTTTGTAGAGTATCAACACAGCCAGCATTGCTTAACTACCTTAGAGGTACTGAAAAGAAATAGTATAGTATCTTTGATAATGTAATGAAATCATATTTTTGTGAATACCTCTATTACTAACCCACTGACCAGCAGGTTAACCTCTCAGAACTCGTTTTAGTCCCTAAATCCAATTGAAGCAAGCATTGGGTTCAACTGGGAAAAATGCTAAACCAAAAATCTATAAATTTATACAATAATGTTTGCATATAAAGGAATACATCATTACATTACATAACATTATTATATATTTTATCACAATTTTGATATATTTCTCATTTTAAACATATTTTTAATTTTTGACATTTTTTTTATACTTTAATATTTTTTTTTTTGCTTTTGTGAAGCACCTTGTGATTTTTATCTGGAGAGGCGCTCTCTAAAAAATCGTTTTATTTCTTTCTATATGATCCCTTGCATCATATTACCTTGTGCGTTGTGTCCATCCTAGCAGCTTTCTGGATCTTGGAGGGGCTCCACGTCATCTTCAGGCTTTTATGGAGGGCAGTCATCTGATCTTATCTCCTCAGGGGAGAAAGCTCTCTTATATACGTCTGCGTTGTCCACATCGTCAGGTCTCAGCACGTCATTCAGGCCAATCACTAACCATGAGCCAAACCACAAATTCTCTTATTTCTGTTTTGTGTGTGTGTGTGTGTGTGTGTGTGTGTGTGTGTGTGTGTGTGTGTGTGTGTGTGTGTGTGTGTGTGTGTGTGTGTGTGTGTGTGTGTGTGTGTGTGTGTTAGAAGTTTTTTGTGCAGTAATTAGATTTGTGTTGTAGATCATCTCCGAGGAAGCTCCATGGTTTTTTTGAATAACTACAGGTATGTTTTTGTAACTGCACAAAAAAGCTGATTAAGACATACCATTAGTGTGAGTGGTGAAAGAAGGTAATGTGTCAGAAAATATAAAATACTATGCGAATACATAAAAAAGCTGTGTGGCCTTTCTCCTTTTGGCAAGTTGTTTAAAGGCCATGCTAATGAGTCCCTATGAGCTGTTTACAACACAAAAGTCAGACTGACACGTTAACAAAGGTTCTGTTCTTTCCAGCTCCCTTGCAGAAAATGTTCTTGTGTTTTGAGCTGAAAGTTTTAGTATTGTTTATTGTTTAAAGCGAGTGCAAAAGGTTTGGAGAACGATGTGTTGCTTTTCGCAAAGTTTGCTGCAGTGTTGTTTTCAGATCTTTTTTGTCAGATACAGTCCCGATCAAACGCTTAGGACCACTTGAAAAATGGCCAAAAATCATATTTTTCATGGTTTCATTTTAACAAAACAGAAATTAAAGTTCCAAACAGGAACTCAGTAATGAGGAGCTCCAGTGATCTCATCAAAAATGTGTTGCAGCATGCTTGCTACAAGCGTTTTAATGAAGTGAGTGGGAACATTCCTCCAAGTGGTGAAGATGGCTGCACACATTTCTATTGTCTGAAACTGATGTCCATTTTTATAAACTTCTCTTGCAATCCTTCTCCAGATGATCTCAGTTGGATTTAGATCAATGAAATATGCAGGGCTTGTAGAAGTCCCTAGTCCTGCAGGATTTTTGTAGCTCTCCAGCAGGCTGGACTATTGCGTTGGACTTTTGCCTGGTCTCACTAAAGAAGTTGGGAAGCAACTGCAGCTTATTGAGAATGCTGCTGCTAGAGTCTTAACAAGAACCAAGCGTAGTACTCCTGCTCTTACATTTGTACACTCCTGCTCTTAAATCTGTGCACTGGTTACCAATAAACCTTAAAATAAATTTTAAAGTACTTCTACTAGTTTATAAATCAGTTGGACGAGCATGTCCTCCACCCCCATGTTTGAGACCCATTGTAAACAGTCAGCTGGTAGAATTCAATTCAAGTTAATTCAATTCAATTCAAAAATACTTTATTAATCCCAGAGGGAAATTGATTGCTGTAGTAGCTCATAATAATAATAATAATCAAGTCATCAAAGAGTTGTTGTATATTACAATGGCTGTTGGCAGGAAGGATCTCCAGTAGCGGTCAGTGTTGCAGCCAAACTGAACAAGCCTCTGACTGAAGACACTCTTCCGTTGTCGGACAGTCTTGTGAAGAGAATGCTCAGGGTTGTCCATACTTTTCTTGATTCTCTGGAGAATCCTTCTTTGTATTGTCTCCTCCAGTGGTTCCACAGTTGTCCCCAGAACAGAACCAGCCTTTTTTATTAGGCTGTTGAGCCTTTTCAGGTCCCTGCTTCTGATGCTGCTACCCCAACAGACGATGGCTGAAGAGATTACACTCAACAACAGACTTGTAGAAGATCTGCAGCGTCTTGCTACAGACATTGAAGGACCTAAGCGTCCTCAAGAAGTGCAGTCTGCTGTGTCCCTTCTTGTAAAAGGCTTCGCTGTTCTTTCTCCAGTCCAGTCTGTTGTCCAGGTGAACTCCAAGGTATTTGTATTCCTCAACCACCTCCACTTCTTCTCCCATGATGGAAACAGTGTTTGACTCCACCCTGTTTCGTCTGAGGTATAAAATCATCTCCTTTGTTTTGTTCACGTTCAAGGTCAGATTATTGTTTCCACACCATGCCACAAAGTGCTCCACCAGATCTCTCTACTCAGCTTCCTGTCCATCTCAGATAAATGATAAATGACCCGCACTTGTATAGCGCCTCTCAGAGTAAGGACTCCAAAGCGCTTTACACTACAGTGTATCATTCATCCATTCACACATACATCCCCACAGCTGCAGAGTCATCTGAGTATTTCTGTAGATGACAGGTCTCTGATTTGTACTGGAAGTCTGAGGTGTACAGGGTGAAACGGAATAGTGAGAGTACAGTCCCCTGTGTATTTAGATAAAGACAAAAAATAAAATAGAACATTAAGAAAGCTCTCCAAAATTGCAGATAGCCTATCTGGGCCCTTGTGAAATCTACAAAGAGGTCTGGAAAAGCATCCAGAGCAGCAACCAGCAAAGAAAAGGACACCAGGCGTAAAGGCACCATCATCCCATATGTGGCAGGAGTCTCAGAGAAACTTAGAAGAATCTTCTCCAAACACACCATCTCGGTAAACCTTAAACCCAACAACACCCTCAGACAGAAATTGGTCCATCCAAAAGACAAAACACCCAAGCAGAATCTTAGTGGTGTAGCTTATGCAGTCCAATGTAGCAAGGACTGTCCAGATCTTTACATCGGGGAAACAAAACAACAATTACACAAGAGCATGGCACAGCACAGGAGAGCCACCACTTCAGGTCAAGACTCTGCAGTCCACCTTCACCTGAAGGACAAGGGACACACTTTTAAAATGAAAGAGTACACACTCTGGACAGGGAAGATAGATGGTTTGAGAGAGGAGTAAAAGAAGCTATCTATGTCAAACGTGAAAAACTCACTTTAAATAGGGGAGGGGCTTAGATTTCACCTTTCCAGTACCGATAATGCAGCTTTGAATCTCATTCCTAAGCAGCTTAAGTCTAGGTCACACCTTCCTGTGTCTAATTAACACAATGACTCCCTCTCAATAGAGACCAACGACTCATCAGGGGATGGAGAGGCGGGGTACTCAGAGTAGTTTCTGCTCGTTAAATAACAACAGACAGCTACAGCTTATAAGCTTGACTCTCTCGTATTCCAGTTAGAATTGACAAAGCTCCTCGGATGAGAAGCGGAACGTCTTCAAGAAACCAAAGAAGTCTAGTTGCCTTCATTTGAACACTTTGGATTCTGCACTGGTTACCAGTAAACTACAGAATCACTTTCAAAGTACTTCTACTAGTTTAGAAATACCATACCATACCACGTTTATTTAGATAGCACATTTAAAAACAGCATGACGGCTGACCAAAGTGCTCTACAGTAAAAAGGACAAACCCCAAGATAAAAACAGATAAAAATCATATAGGAGGTAAGGGGTAAAATCTAAAAAAATTGTAAAAGAAACATACAACAATAAAATACAGAGCCACAATAAAATGTAAAAATAACTGATGGCATGGGGTCAGGGTACATGTTGGATCTCCTTTCTGTATTGAGTTTTGATTGAGTTTTCTGACAATAATAAATAGTCCAGCTGCCGGCTTCTGCCTGCCAAATGGCGCTTTCGATTTGAACTGTTGCATGCCGGGAAACGTGACGTCAACTCCCGGAGCTCTATAGGCTCTCAGAGCCCTGCTGTATACGCCCAGCAGGGCTCTGAGAGCCTTAGGAAACAGTTAGCTGGGACAACCCTGGGTGTTGTGGCCACGTTTGTTGAGGGTTTGAAAGCCATTAGTTTAATTTATTCGTGTTTTTGTTTAACAGTAGAAACATATTATAAGTCTGACTTCTACCTAAACCTTTACATGATTTATTTATTTACGTTTGTGATGACTTTGTAAACTTTTGGACCCTCCCATTCATGGACGTAATTTTGGGGGGGGGGACAGGGGGGACATGTCCCCCCCACTTTTTCTAAAGTCAAGTTTTGACCCCTGCACTTTTTACCATCCAAAAACAATATTACGCTATATTAAATTGACACTGGTTGAGCTCTAGGACCAAGCGGAAAGCAACCGTTTGTGTTGAAGCCTGTTTCCCCTTAGAACATATTGTAAAGATACCCCCCCCCCCCCCCCGTGTCTCCCCCCCACTTCTAAAGTGAAAATTACGTCCTTGCTCCCATTAATTAGGTACATAAGGAGCAAGCCAGGGGGAAGGTGTGGTTTTGTTTTTGTTTGTCAGACGTCAGCCGGCGCAGACGGGAGGGTTTTTAATGATTTTTGACCACTTTACAGAGACTTTATTAGTTGGTTTAAGTTGGATTTCGTGGATTGCTGGATAATTTTGACTTACAATTTGTAAGAAATAAATGGAATATATTTTTGAAGAACTGAAGTCTGGAGTGCGTGCAAATCCTAAACCCACCTGTTGCCACCCACGGCCTTTTTTCTTTTGGGTTATTTCGTTTAAGCCGGGCGTACACTGTGCGACTTTTTCACTCGCAGCGTTCAGCTTCAGCTCAAACTGTACGAATTCCTCGCAGAGCAGATCTCACGAGTCATGCGCTCACACTGCACGACCCAATTCTCGCATGCGACCTGACTGCTCACACTGTACGTCTGGTAGCAACACGTCGGCCCTAAAATGTGCTAAAAATAGCAGTTTTTACACAACACGTCAGACTTTTTTGTCTTGCCTGTTGTCCTTCGGGAGTGCTGCAGGAGGACACACAGGGATTTATGGGGGTTGGATGAGGAAAACGAAATAAAGAAAGTGAATCTGTGTTTTATGATCAGTTTAATTTGACATGAACACGACAAACACGCTTTCTTGACAATCTTTGTGAGTAAAAAAACGTGTAGAAACAAAAACGAACAGCGTGTGTTATTAGGGAAATAGCGAGCGACCGGCCGGCGTTGATGCAGGATTGCGCGCGCATGCGCCGTGAGCGGTTCTGATACTTTTTGGATCGTAGCTGCTCGCAGCTGCTCGCAGCGCCGCTTCAACAGTGCGATACCCTCACGAGGGACGAGCGAAATATTAAACACACCAGAAGTCCCTGCGACCTCACGACTGCTGATCGGCGGCTGGTCACGTGGTGTTAATCGCCTCTCGTAACCCCCTGTACACTACACGACCGCTCGGCGCAAAACTCGCCCCGATGTCGTGGCTTCTCGCACGACTGGAAAATCGGCTCAAAAAAGTGAAAAAGTCGCACAGTGTACGCCCGGCTTTAGACGGTAAAAGACGGCGACACCCGGGTCAGAACCAAACAGGTTGAAGCTGCTTTTAGCTACGATG